ATATAGGGTTGCCAGGTCCTCTTTGACCACTTGCAGGGTGTGATAGGGTTGCTACTAGTGTTCCCTCTAAGCCGAGTTAGTGTGAGCTAGCTCACAGTTTTTTAGCCTCCAGCTCACACATTTTTGTCTTAGCTCAGGAAGGATTGCTCCAGAGCAAACTAATTGAGGCAGTCGCCAGATGGCTCACTCACAACTTTAATGCCAGTAGCTCAGAAAGTAGAATTTTTGCTCACAAGACTCTGCAGCTTAGAGGGAGCATTGGTTGCCACCTCCAGGTTGGGAAATTCCTGGATATTTGGGTGTGGAGCCTTGGAAGGACAGGGACCATAGTGGGGTACAATGGCCATAGAGTCCACCCTCCAAAGCATCCGTTTTCTCTACGGGAACTGATCTCTGTAGTCTGGGGATGAGCTGTAATTCCAGAGGATCCCCAGGCCCCACTTGGAGGCTGGTATCCCTAAAAGTATACAGTGCTTGTAATGCCAAATGAAGGTAAAAGTAAGTATTACAGTTTTTAAAGAGTTGGATCTGGATCTGCACAGCAGCTGCAGGGAACAGCTTCTCAAAACAAGGGAGGGCCTAAATGGGTTCAAAATGGTGCCATGGTGAGAGAAAGGTCTCCTCCCCCCAACATTTTCCTCACACGAAAACTACACTTGGGGGGAGGGTTATTTACTAAGTTTTGCTACTCAGCATGGGCCCATTCTGCATCTAGTATTCCCTCCGTTGTTTTACCAAACCCACACCGGAACAGAAAAAGATGCGGCTCAAAACCACATTCAAATACCCCGGCCAACACCATACTGACTGCAGAGTCACCCCTGAATGGCCATAAAACAGCCATAAATCTATGCAGACAGTACCATAAAACTGAGAGAACAAATGAAGTGAAAGTGGCATGCAGTCTGGACACTGTCATAAAATCCAACAATCAATCAGAGTGAAAGTGGCATGGACTGTAGGGGGAAATTTCTGTTCCAACATGGTTTTGGTAAAACAGCAGAGTGAAGGCTAGATGCAGACTGGGCCATGGAGTAGCTGTGCACATGGAGTAGCAAAATTGGGTAAAAAACCTTTCCCCCAACATGGCACCATTCCAAGCTCATTTGGGCTCTCTCTCACTCTCTTACTAAACGAAGCAGTTCCTTGCAGCTGTCGTGGGGCTGTGGGGAACAAGAGCTGGGTCTGGGAACCTGGACCCAACTCCTTAACAACTGTAAGATTTAGTTTGCCATGGAAACAGAAAAGTCTTGCTCATGACTGTCATAGCTCCAGTTATGAAGTGTTGACTTACAGGAATATCTAAAGTTGCTCTAATATCCCTCATTCCAATGTATAACACTTTGTACATGTCCTTGATGAATTTTATTTTTTATGGTTCTACAGTTCAAATGTCTGGGATTTATTGTGCATCCCCAAAACTGATTATGTTTTTGTTTTTAAGATATTAAAAATATTTTTTTTGCCATCAGGTCAAGCTGACTTTTAGCGACCCCTAGTGGGTCTTGAAGGCAAGGGATGTTCAAAGGTGGCTTGCCATCACCTGCCTCTGTGTCACAACCCTGGTACTCCTTGGAGGTCTCCCATCCAAATACTAGCTAGAGGTGGCCTTCCTTCGCTTCCAAGTTTCTGACAAGATCAGGGCTCCCAAATCTGATTTTTCGAACGTTTTTGCAATCCCTTCCAGTCTGAGGTAAATTTTAAACTATTTCCATTCCCAGGTCATTAATGTATGTTAAAACAGGATATTTTATCTTTCCTTTCCTTAAAGTGCATGGTCATGGTCTTCTGTATTATTCTTTCTGGCTCTAACAAAAGGAGATGGAATAGACCCAATCTGCTTGTGAAAAATTTGTGTAATTTAGTATTATATTGGGGGGGGGGGGAGCCAGTTGGACAAACACTGAAAGCCTTGTTCTTGAATCTCCATTGTGAGACCTGTTACATTTTTAGAGATTTATTTGGGATTGTGGTTTTTTTCTTCTGCATTGTCCCAGATTATATATTACTTGCATTGTGTACTTCATGCAAATCATTGTGTTACTTTAGTTCAGGGGTGGCCAAACTGTGGCTTGGAAACCACATGTGGCTCTTGCACACATATTGTGTAGCTCCCGGCAGAGCGGCTGGGAAAGCAAAAGGGAGACATGCCTCCCCGATTGGTCTTCCCTTCCCCAGCCAGTGCTCTCTTCCCTGGGTAGGCTTCAGGTGGGGGGGAGGGAGCAAAGAAAGAAAGGAACTTTAACTTTAAATGCGTTCTCAAAGCCCACCCTCCCGGCCAGTTTGGAGAAGGCACTTTAATCTTTAAATCCCTTCTCCAAGCCAAGCCAGCCAGTGGGGGGTGGGGGTGGGGCTTGGAGGATGCATTTAATGTTAAAGTTGCTTTCTTTCCACCTTTCCCTCCCTCCCTCCCCCATCTATTTGCTTTCTTTCCACTTTCTTACTTTCCACCTTTCTTTCTCTCTCTCTCTCTTTCTCCCCTCCCTCACCATCTCTCTATATAATAATTCTGTTTTGGTGGCGGCACTCTCCTGAACATTCCACACACTCCCAAATCGGTTGGCTCCCTGATCTGTCACTCAGAAGCTGTCCCTATCCACTGGCTGTGTTGTCTAAGTCTCACCTCCAATATTCTAAACAGTTTGCTGTTTCTCTCCCTCCAATAGCCAGTTGGAACACAGAAGTCATTTGCATATGCAGCCTGATTGGCCTTTGCCTCTAACATTCTAAACAGTTTGTTGTTGCTGTTGGGAGTCATTGAATGTGTCCTGAGGTAAAATACATATCCCAATCTTCCCTTAAACAATCACTGGAGGTGCTGATCTCCCTGTGGGGCCTGGAGATCTCCCAGAAATCACTGTGTTCCCCAGCCACAGCACATCATTTCCCCTACAGAAAAGTTCCCAGCTATTACAATGGCTGCTTTGGGAAGTGGACTCTATGGCATTATACTGTGCTGAAGTCCCTCCGCACCCCAAACCCTGCCCTCCCCAGGTTCTACCCCTCAAATCTACAGGTCTGCCCCTCCCCTTAGTATTGCCAGCCTCCAGGCAGCACCTGGAGATCTCCAAGATCAGTTCTCCTGGAAAAAATGGTTGCTTTGGGCAATGGACTCTAAGGCATTATACCCTGCTGAGGTCCCTCCACACCCGAAACCCTGCCCTCCCCAGGCTCTACCCCTCAAATCTACAGGTATTTCCCAACCCAGAGTTGGCAACCCTGTAACTGGCTATGGAGCCACTTTCCAGACCCTTGGAATCTAGATGACATGGCATAGGAGGAGGTGCTTCTCTACCTTAGCTGCCACTGCATAACTCCAAATCAACCTTAGTTCAGGGGTGGAGGGAACCATACCTGTTACCATGAGGCTGTCCTCCCATACTACCCACTTGGGACAGCAAAATGACTTGAGACAGCCCTGCCTTATAGCTAAGCAGAAGGAAATAAACATGGCTTGCCTCCCTCTGTTTCCCCCTTCCCTCTGCCGCTCCACCACCCACAGCCAGGACACTCACCTGGAGCTTCCTTCTAGAACTCGTATTTCTTCCCACAATGGGCCTTACTCCTAGTCTAATGTTAAATGTGTTCTCCAAACCCCGTCCCACCAGCCAGCTGGTTTGGCTCAGAGAAGGCATTTGTCTCTTTAAATCCCTTCTCCAAGCCAAGCTGGCTAATGAGGGTGTGTGTTGGAGAACACATTTAAATTTAAAGTTGCTTTCTTTCCACTTCTCCCTCCCTCCCCATATATTTGCTTTCTTTCCACATCTCTCTTTCTCTCTCTTTTTTCCACTTCCTCCCTCCCTCCTCTGTTTATTTGCTTTCTTTCTACTTTTCTCTGTCTCTTCCTCCCTCCCTTCCTTTCTCTCTCCCCCTCCCCCTTCTCTTTGCTTTCTTTGTTTCTGTTTCTCTCTTTCTATTTTTCTCCTCCTTTCTTCCATCTTTCCTCCTTCTCCCTCCCCATCTGTTTGCTTTGTTTCTTTGTTTCTCCCTCTCTCTCTCTTTCTTCCTTCTTTCCTCCCCCTCCCCCATCTATTTGTCATCTTTGTTTTTTCCTCTCTCTCTCTTCCCCCTTTCTCCCTCCCCCATCTATTTCCTCCCTCCCTCATCTATTTGCTTTCTTTGTTTCTCTCTGTCTCTTTCATTCTTTCTTTTCACCTCTCTCTTTCTTTCTCTCTGTCTTGGACAAATGAATATCATTAGATAAGAAGAAGAAGAGAAGAGATTGGATTTATACCCCGCCCTTCACTACCCAAGGGAGTCTCAGATCGGCTTACAAACTCCTTTCCCTTCCCCTCCCCACAACAGACACCCAGTGAGGTAAGTGGGGCTGAGAGAGCTCTGACAGAAACTGCTCTTTTTCAAGAACAGCTCTTATCAGAACTACGGCTTGCCCAAGGTCGTCCAGCCAGGTGCAAGTGGAGGAGTGGGGAATCAAACCCGGTTCTCCCAGATTAGAGTCCGCACACTTAACCACTACACCAAACTGGCTAGCAAAGAAATAAATATAATTGGACAAATAAATATTATCAACATCTGTTTTTATCCCTTTTGTTTTTTATTTTTGGCAGTCTCATTTAATGTTAATAAAAAGCAAATCTGCATATTTTCCAATAAAAACATGTGTGTTAATATTTGTTCATGTCTTGCGGCTCTCAAACATCTGATGTTTATTCTATGTTCCTCTTATGTTAAGCAAGTTTGGCCACCCCTGCTTTAGTTCCTTAGCCATTCAATATTCAGTGAACAACAAGCTTCCATTCAGTTCTTTGGATTACTTCCAAACCTTTAGCAGCGTGCCAGGAACTTCAACTGCACTTCCATGAAATTGCAAAACAGTCTTTGGTATGGAGCAAAGAGGAAATACACAAAAATACCATCCCTACCTGTGTTGCTAGAATGTGTCAGAATAGCTCCATTTGCATAGCTGATGTGGTGAGCTCAGCTCTCCCATTACTGTGTTTGATAATTTACTAGGACTATTACCTAGGAAGGAGGCGTGCTCAAATACACCTTGGGACCTCAATTTTCACATTTGTCCAACCTGCCTTCTTCTGAGAGGGCACAGTCCCACACCTCTGCTCTCAGCAAAGAACCCAGGGTGCTGATCAGGACAAGTCATGAATGCTCTTACGGCTATTACTTTTTCCCTTTTGGTTGCTCTGGAGCCTGTGAACTGCCAGACAGGTAACATATTTTATTTGGCTACTTTGTGAGCTTGATACTGATTAGCAGCAGTTTTTTGATCTGGATTTAGTAAATGGCACTTTTTTCTTTTGCATTCTGTATCTAGATACTTTCCTAGGTTATGTTCTACTTCAGGTTTTACAAATTAATGCTAAAATTGAGACCATTTAGAACTAACATTGATATGATGTTGCTTAATGCTAGAAGTGATTATTTATACATACATTTCATAACTCCTTTCACTGGCTTCAGGCCTGCCTGTTCCCTCCTTTGTTAAGCAGATATCTACATGTTTAAAAGTCTGATGGCACATTTCCACCTAATCACAGGCGTTCATTAATATTTGCCTCTTTTATTTATTTTTATGAATTTATACATATCTGCCTAGTTTATGTACACACACACACACACACACACACCATGCATTTATGGCTTCCCTGCTTCTGGAGAATATGCAGATTTTCTTTCCTCAGCACTGAACTTGCTCCAGCCATCTTCCAGATCTAAATTACTTTATCTCCAGATGTTCTGGAATGCAACCCGATACTATGTCCTTGAATTTATATCTCATGGAGTTCAGTGACACTTATTCCAAAACCATTGCCATTGAACTCACTCACTTTGATGAAGTGTGCATAGGATTGTACCCTTAATAGCATGGCATTATGAATCTGGGACAATCAGACAATTTCAGACTATCAACTCTAGCTGTACCAGTGTAAGCAACAGTCTGAAGCTGATTATAAGCACAACCTATTTCTGGTGTGTGGAGCAAAGTCCATTAGAAACATTAACTGAAAAAAAATGTGCCAAGATCATGAAGTTTCATTAACTCAGGTAAACCAAATCTAATCCCCTTCAGGAAATTTTTATTGTTTAATATGGTCTTAAGTGTTACAAGATTTTGGATAGAGCAAAGCCCCCTTAAAAGAATGATCATGAAGTTCCCAGGCAACTCAACAAAGGAAGATGTGTTGGTGTAATGCACAGCTGCAATTTGTTTTCTGTAGCTAAAACTTTGAGGATTAATTATGTGACTTCTCTCTTACATCCATGCCACAATGTTATTCTTCTTAGGGCTGCACAGATACCTACTCACAGAAGCGTACTCATTGAGCATGCTGGGCTTTGGAGGATAGAGTCCATTGCAAAAGTCATTTCCTAGATGTCCCAACATACTTATTTGTACCTATTGCATAGTCCTACCCATATTCAGCTTAGTCACATGCAGCTGGAACCAAGGGACTGGCCTGTCAGGCCATCTCTTTTAAATTCATCTCTGAACCTGAGGAGTCAAGGCTGGATGTATGAAACCAACAAGCACTGATAGCAAAGGCTTGGCACATGTATGACTGTTTGCACATGTATGGCTCTTTTAGCAAACTGAGTTCTAAGAGCTGAGGCATGGTTTACATCCAACACTGCTTCTCTCTCATTCAGCTCACACTGGTATTTGCATCCAATATTGTTTAGTGGCCCCAAAACTCTTAAAAACCTTGTTATTGGATTCATAGGTGGAATTGTGAAGGAACTTATCTGTCTATTGGTGAAGTGGGGGCTTAATACAATTTTAGTAATGGTATGCATGGAGTCAGAGGCACTGAAAACAACCCTGTTGCTTTATTCAGCTACCAGGCCTTTGCTGAATAATGTGACCAATTTTTATCATCACTACAAGTCCTTTTCAGCCATTGAAAGTGGGTTCAGTCAGGGCCAGCCTGTTATTGTTAAATTTTAGACTGTCGCCTAGGGCAACGGCTCAACGAGGGCGCATTCTGGCTGGCCTTGCCCCCTCCTCACCCCGCACAGGAAGCCTCCCTTGCCAGCTTCTTGCTCCATCTCCGGCAAGAGACTCCCCTCTTTGCAACCCCCCAGACAGAAAGAGAAGGAGGCGGGGTGGAACAGGCACGGGGAACAGCCCTGGACGACAGGAAAGTGCCACTCACCCTCTGCCACCCCCGCAGTCTCTTCAGCGCTCCTTTTGCAGTCTGGCACAGGCCCCCTCCCCTCGAGCGATCCTGCCCCCCCCCCCGCATGCATTTGCAGCTCGCCCCTTCGGCCTGCCCGTTGTGGCTCCGACGCCCACCCCCATCCCACCCCGCACCACACAGGGGGGCCACCAGAATGTATCCTCACCTAGTGGGCAAAAAAACCTGGGGCCATCACTGGGTTCAGTGATTGTTTATGGCAGGGTGGAATGAGACTGGCAACAACCTCCACCTACACATGTTATTTGGAATGAGTGCCTAGAGCCCCTATGTCTACAAGTGAAGAGGGCCATGTATAATTATTTTATTTTTTTTAAGTTATCCTGCCTTATCTCTTTGAATGAAGGCAGTGAACAATGCAGCAACCAAGTTGCAAGAACATAAATAATATTTCAATCAATAACATTTAAATGGTTAAAATACACAGATTACACATTTAAAAGCATTCAGATTTAAAACACACAGGAATTAAAAAACCAAACCAAACCACAGGATCAACCTGCCTTCTCTTTCTGTCTGGGGGGTTGTAAAGAGGGGAGTCTCTTGCCAGAGATAGAGCAAGAACCACAGGATCAACCATTCCCAGCCAGATCTGTTGGAACAATCCACCCTCCGCCAAATGCCCTCTGGAATAAGATTGCCTTTCATGCCTTTCTCAGGGCGATTTCTCACTAGAGCGGCCTCGCAGCACAGCGCCAGTTGCCCCGACACAAACATGTCAATTTCACACCCGAAGCTCCAGGGCTGCATTTTGACTCACGGCTTCGCCCGATTTCCTCCGCAGTTTCGTGATCCTGGTTTTTGAGGATCATGAAACTGCGGAGGAAATCGGCCGAAGCCCCAAGTCAAATGCAGCCCCGCAGCCTCGGGTGTGAAATTGACATCAGTGTAGCAAGTGAAGATACCCTCCTCACCCAATTCAGATTCTTCACAGTCACCTTCAAAAGAAATCTTCTGCTATCCATGTGCAATGCTCCGTGAGCAGTTTTAATGATTGGGTTTCCAGTTATACCAATGTTCCTGATGAGCAAAAAAGAAACAAACAATGAAGGAAAAAGTTGCCAGTAGGCATTTCAGCCGAAGATTTCCCCAGACAGCTGCTTGCTACGGTGCTTGCTTTGTGATTTAGCACTGAACTGGAAATGCAGGAAGTAGTATGACAGAGATGAGTTACAAGACAGCACATGTTTTTAATGCACAATACTTCTATAGTCTATTGTTGGACAGGACTTTACATCCCATAGTGACCCTGGCAGTGCCCTAGCAGGGATCAACAGTGTCTGTCTGTCTTTCAAGTGTTCAAAAAATAGTTAAGGGTAGCCTTGTAGGTCTGCAGTAGCAGCGTTAGATTTGAACTCAGGAGTACCTGAGGGACCAACAAGAGTTTCAGGGAGGAAGCTTTCAAGAGTCTGACAATGGTGGCTTTGACTCTTATGCCCTGAAACTCTTTTCGTTATGTAAGGTGCTACTGGAGTGAAACTTAAATGTACTAAATAAGCACGCCTCACTGCACTCCTTTGCCTCTGGTCACCCTAGCTAATGTTGGTTTGGCTAATGGGTAGGGTTGCCACCCATACCTTAAAGTGCTCAAATTAAATGGAACACGAGAGACTTTCAGCTGCTCTCCCCCCATTGTTCCCCCTCATTGTTTTGTTCCCATTCTCCTTGAGAGGCAGCATGCTGCAGTGGTTAAGAGTGGTGGACTCTGGAGAACCGGGTTTGATTCCCCACTCCTCCATATGAAGCCTACTGGGTGTCCTTGGGCCAAGTCACAGTTTCTCTCAGAACTCTCTTAGCCCCACCTACCTCACAAGGTGACTGTTGTGGGGAGAAGAAGGGAAGGTGAATCTAAACTGCTTTGAGACTCCTTAGGGTAGAGAAAAATGGGGTATAAATGTTCTCTTCTCTTCTTCACCTACAGTAGGAATGTATAAACTGTACAGTAGAAGAAGAAGAAGAAGAAGAAGAGATTGGATTTATACCCCGCCCTTCACTACCCAAAGGTGTCTCAGAGCGGCTTACAAACTCCTTTCCCTTCCCCTCCCCACAACAGACACCCTGTGAGGTGGGTGGGGCTGAGAGAACTCTGACACAAACTGCTCTTTTTCAAGAACAGCTGTGCCAGAGCTTGTGACTGACCCAAGGTCACATCAGCAGGTGCAAGTGGAGGAGTGGGGAATCAAACCCAGTTCTCCCAGATTAGAGTCCGCACACTTAACCACTACACCAAACTGGCCAACTATTTCACACAGAGGAGAAGGGCAGACAAAAGGAACAGGGGAAGCTGGGAGGGAGATCCCCTGACAACCTGCCCTTCTGATTGGCTAGGACTTCAAAAGGTAAATTCTTGTTCTCTGGTTTGTAACCCGGTAACTCCCCCCCCACCCCGACTGTGCTGAATTTTCATGAGGTTACATCTTCAGTGTGTGGGAAGTAGGCTTTTTGAGGATGCAAAAAGCCCCTTGGGAAAATGACTGCAATGATTGTTCTCAGCACCCTGACTGATCAGTGCCATTTTTATGCATGAGCCAGGCCAATCAAGATGCAAACCTGCTTATGCTACATAGTGGTGTCATTGAGGGCAAATAAATGCCTGAATCGAGGGGGATCGGAAAAATGAATCCTTGTCCTGAAAAAATAGCAAACAGGTGCAGCAGCTGAGAGCAGGAGCTGCAAACTCTGGTTTTGGACCTCCCTGGAGATCTGAAGGTGGCCCTTGGGGAGGGCAGAGTTTGTGTATGGGAGGAAACTTAGTGAGGATGTGATGCAATAAAATCTGCCCTCTGAAGCTGTCATTTCCTCCGGGGGAATTGATCTCTGTTGTCTAGAAATCAGTTGTAATACTTGGAGAACTTCAGGTACACCTTCAGGTTGGCATCCCAACATGCCCTCACTAAAAATTTTCCCTGGGCTTCCCTTCATATTCAGAACACACACACGATACTAACCTGGAATAGATGTGTTGCTATGAGTTCCCAACAGCATCTTGCTCACTTTCCTGAGTCTCCCATT